TTTATAGTCAAAATGTCAAGATCTTTATGGGCATAACCTGTGGAAGCTTAAAGTTTATTTTTACTGTTTATATTTTTGTTACTACTTACTATATCCCTAAGAAATTACTAGCACGAATTCAAGTGTAATTGAGAAAACCACTAAAGTAATCATGAACTTTTAATACCACAATTCACTCCTCTCTTGCGATTGAAGTCACTTACTCAGTAAGTGACATCAGAGCCTAAATCATGTTTAAAACTAATTGTCCCAAGAGGAAAAATGATTTCAATCTAATCATTAAACAAACCCCTTTCCTTTAATAGAGAAGGTTATAGATCTCGATATTTGGAAGATTATGAAAGAAGGTCCATTTGTTCTTATACACAAAGTTAATGGTGTTGTAGAAAGCAAACCTAAAAAGGATTGGACCACAGATGATAAGGAAAATGTGCCTCATTGTTTGAAATGAAATGGAAATGTTGGGTACATTAATTCATGAGTATGAACTCATCAAAATGAAACTTGAAGAGAGAATTAATCATATGCAAACACGATTTACCCATATCATGAGTCATGAGAGTTTTGAGAAAAACTTTCCCAAATAAAGAATTGGTTATAAATATTCTTAGATGCCTAAACCGTAGTTGACAACCTAAACTCATTGTGATTTATGAATATAAGTATTTAGGAACCATACACATGCGTGCGCGCATCCACATACACGCGCTCACACACCCACACACACACTCTCTCTCTCTCTTTCTCTCTCTCTCTCTCTCTCTCTCTCTCTCTCTCTCTCTATATATATATATATATATATATATATATATATATATATATATATATATATATATATATATATATATATATATATATATATATATATATATATATATATATATATATATATATATATATATATATATATATATATATATATATATATATATATATATATATATATATATATATATATATATATATATATATATATATATATATATATATATATATATATATATATATATATATATATATCCCTCCCACTCTCTCTGGTAAAATGCAGGAACATGACACAAAGTTGAAAAGGTTGGGTGATGATGAAGAAAATGACAATAAGAAGAGGAAAACTATTGCACTTAAAGTGACTCACATCAAAGATATGGAATCAGAAGATACAGTTTGTTAAAGTGAGATTAATAAATCATGAAGTTAGTGTTTAAAAGTTAAAAGAGTTCCTAAGGCACAAAAAAAACTTTAAGACTCCACAAGCAAAATGAAGAAATTTCATTGTTCATCCCTACATGTCATTATTGCAGAGAGAAAGGGCACATAAGACCAAAGTGCCCTCAAAACCAGAAAAGAAACCAGAATTAGAGAAAATTCAAGAAACCGCAAAAAGAATATAAGAGAGCCTATATATATTGCGATGACAATGATTATAAGGAAGAAGCAAACATATGTCTCACAGAAAATCATGAAGAAGATGAGGCAACTTCTTATTTTTCTTATCAAGACTTGTTTCACATTCGTAAAAATATAACCAAAGAAACAAGTAAATTAGAACAAATTGTATCTACCTCCAAAGACATTATTTATTACATTAAATTGAATCAACTTATCACAGTCGTCGCTCCTCAGCCCGTGGTAGACCAATCACAGTCTTATACTGCACCAGTAAAGAGAGCTCGGGACCAAGATCAACATTCCCTTTTTAAGGAGGACTCTTCAAAACTGGGTCGTCTTTATGGGGGCGCTACTTCGGATTCGGTAACTCCTTTCCTCTAAATAACCGCCATTATTCCTACTCAAATTCCTTGCACTTCCGAGGAAGTTACTGCTGCCATGTCTGCATAGGATTTGTCTTTCGTCCAAAACTTTCATGATTCGTACATGATAGAGTTTCTTTCTGATATCACCTATCACACTTACTGAACAACCTCTCTATTTTCTCTAGTTGTTATTGGTTGAAGTGATTTCTTAGAAATGTGTAATCCATCCAAGGAGGATACCTGGAAGGGGAAACACAAAGATATGAAGCAAAAGCGCTCTAAATTCCAAAAGGAGTTGGGTAATCTCCGAAAGAAAAGTAGTATCATTGAAGCTTTACATGAAGAGGTGAGGATCCATGACATCCCTTCCACCTTAGCCACTTATATTTTCGAGTTAGAATCTTCCTTTAAAATAGAGAAGAAGAGGCATCAGGAGACATTTGATGCTCTTAGTGAGGTTGTCCACTGTACTAACGAGGCTTGGAAAGCTCTTCAACAAGAAAAGGAGTCTCGTGCCAAGGATTAGAGATTTCATGAGGATGAGGTGGCCATTCTAAAGGAGAGAGTTTGAGAGTCTCTTCGGGAAACTATGTAGAATGTATATGGAGCTCTCAACCATGCGATGGATCAGGCTAAAGAGTTATTCCCGGGGGTTCCCATCCTTATTCCAAAATAATATCCTTTCAAAGCTACTCCTGACGGGGCTTTGGTGAACTCTCAAAGTGCAGCTTCTCAGAGTGAGGAAGCCTAACTTATTCTTTTGTACTTTTTTCCTTTTCCTGTATTGTTGGTCAGGCTTTCAGGCGTTGGTAAGAAAACAATATTTAAATATACATTTACCTTAATGTTAGGTGTCTTTATTTAGTTTTGTGTTCTTGGATTATATATGTTTCTTCTTTATATCTTCCTAGTCCACCTTATTGGTTGTTATCCTCCTCGCCTTGGATAGAGTGGTGAGTCTTTATTGCGTCAGGACTTGCTCTTTGCTCCTGCAATTTTATATTTGTTCTCTCTATGGACGTTGGATGTGTCTGGCATGTCCGTCAAACTCTATAGTCTCGACTGGAGTTTCATCAATCAGGAAGATTTATTATTGTTCTTTAGCATCACTAGGAACCATCCTCACCTAAAGGTTTGGTTCTTACCCCTACACCTAGGATTAACCTAGTTTGGGGTGATGACTCTGGGCTCCACCGCCTACGTTTTTGGAGTGGATAGTTCTTAAGAGGTGGAGGGTGGACCAACTATATTGAGGACATTTTCACCAAGTTGTGAAATATGCCTCATAAGATAAGCTTATGTCGTCCTATAGGGGATCAAAATACCTTTGTGGTTACAATATATTGTAGTTAGGAGACTAATTATTAAAATCACGTGAAACTTTACAAACTACTTAGCTCATCGAGAAAGTCACGATAGTAGTAGTACATTCTATTTCGTCTTTGCTTATCTTCAGTTGCCTGTGTAGTCGGTGGATGTGGTTCTCCTTTCCATATGCCCAGCACGGGCACTTGTCCATCACGGGTTCTGCCGGCATCGTTCCTTCACTTGACGGGCACTGTCGTATGATCAACATCTTCGCAACTGTCTTTTGTTCCCGATCGTAAAGGTTCGACCATCTCTCAACATGTGCTCTGGGATGCTTCTAAAGAATAGTCAGTTCAATAGTACATATTTTTTCCCTTAATTTAAAGTGGATGTTGCTCTCCCCACTCTTTTGAAATTCAATTAGCATTGTGTTCATAAGGGCATTAAAATTTATTCCCTAGGATCTGTCTAGATTTGACATTCTCCGAGACTGTTGTCGAATGGGAACGAGATTTCTTAATGTCCTCTCCCCTAAGTCTTTCTCCAGTCAGTAAAGATCGAGCTTGGTTTCCTTCAATACTATATCTACGAGAGTTGGCGAAGTCAGGCGTTAAGCTAGTTAAGACTGCCGATATGAGGCATCTTAGACATTATTTCCCTTCAAGGTTATTAGAGCTTAGAGCACATTCCTCTCGTCCATTCCTTCTCAACGAAAAAAAGAAAAAAGTGCCGAAAACCCCTTTCCCAAACTGCTATGTTCTTTCCATTTTCTCTTTCTCAATGGTCATTCATTAACCACTAAAAATTAGAGAGCACATTCAAGACGGATCCAGATCCTCTTTAGCCGTTTCTCTCATGTGATTGGTCCTGCTATTATCTCGACCATTATTTTTTCTAAAGACAATATTTTTATTTTTATTATTTTATTTTAAAATTCTTTAGCCATTAATTTAAGGGCAGCATGGATGGCAAAAGCCATTCAACAAGAGAGGATCCATGTTTATTCAGGACGTGGAACTATCAATATCAAGTGTTACCCTAAAATCAAGTCCTCAACTATGTATAGTTAAACAAAATTTGATACTATTCATTCATACATTTTACTTGAAGGTCAATAGTCAAATAAGTATAGATAATTGTTCTTCTAGTGTAACACCTTTTTATAATTCTCTAGTCCATAGCCACAAAATAACCACTAATGTCTTTTTCAAATGTAGAGAATATTGTGCACAAAGAATCATCAATCACAATTAACAACATGTTGATTGTTGGACTGAAATGAATGCTCTATATTAGGCCAAACAGTATGGATGGCACAGAAACTTCCAAGTCGTGTGATTTACATCTAATTACTCCACTATAATCCTTCTTGTAGTTTTCTTTCCTGTCTTCTCAAAAATATATACCAAGGCAAAAACATAATTTACATAAAACTATAAAATGTTTGGTACATCTTCAATCATAAATTAATACTACACTTTAATCACATATAGAATATGATTCTGCAATATCTAGTGGATGATCGTGGAAATAACCTGAAACTTAGAATCAATGCCTTTGCCTTTTAACAGTTCCAACACTTCAACATAAAACACCTTTTCTTCTCTCCATTTTATTTTTTAATTTAGCAAAATACGTAAATCAACTTTAGTTTCATTCCAAAGTGAGTGTTACAAAGAATTGCATCTTTGTCTTCACAAAAGTAAGTTAAGTCCACTCGTGGACTTAAACTAGTGGAAAGAGGATATTACATAAACAATATACTCACTCCACCAAATGTTAATTAACCAATAAGATAACATCAATTAGATTAACTGTAATTGTGTTTATTATAAATACAATTACAGAGTGCAATCACTGCATGTAGTTTGTGGTACCAAAATAGAGAGATTAAATACACACCCAATGCAAACCAATTCATAGTAACAAAACAAAGAGATGAAAAGCATCACATGTTATTTGCTAGTATTCTTCTGCGTGTTATTTACACCTTGTTTTTCAATAACCGATCTCGATGCGTTGCTAAAGCTTAAAGAATCAATGAAAGGAGGGAAATCAAAACACGGCGATTTACTTGGAGACTGGAAGTTTTCCAGTTCTGGTTCAGCTCACTGCTCATTTTCCGGTGTAACATGCAATCAAGATAAACGAGTGATAGTTCTGAACGTGACACAAGTTCCACTCTTCGGAAGAATTTCTAAGGAGATTGGAGTGTTGGATAAGCTTGAGAGACTCATCATCACCATGGATAATCTCACAGGTGAGCTTCCGTTTGAGATATCCAATCTTACCTCTCTTAAAACCCTTAACATCTCTCACAACACCTTCTCTGGTAACTTCCCCGGCAACATCACTCTCCCTATGACGAAACTGGAGGTTCTAGATGCTTATGACAATAGCTTCACTGGTCATCTTCCTGAGGAAATCGTTAGCCTCAAGGAACTCAAGTTCTTATGTCTTGCCGGAAACTATTTCACCGGTACGATACCGGAGACTTACTCGGAGTTTCAGAAGTTGGAGATTTTAAGCATAAATGCAAACAGTTTATCGGGGAAGATTCCTAAGAGCTTGTCCAAATTAAAGACGCTGAAGGAACTCCGTCTAGGTTATAACAACGCTTACGAAGGCGGAGTTCCACCGGAGTTTGGTTCCTTGAAATCTCTCCGATACCTTGAAGTGTCTAACTGTAACCTCACCGGAGAAATTCCACCGAGTTTGGGAAATTTAGAAAACCTAGACAGCTTGTTCTTGCAAATGAACAACCTCACCGGAACAATTCCACCGGAACTCTCTTCCATGAAGAGTCTCATGTCGTTGGATCTCTCCATCAACGAACTCTCCGGAGAGATTCCCGAGAGCTTCTCAAATCTCAAAAACCTTACTCTCTTGAATTTCTTCAAGAACAAGCTTCGCGGTTCTATTCCGGCATTTATCGGTGATCTTCCTAACCTAGAAACGCTTCAGGTTTGGGAAAACAATTTCTCTTTTGTATTGCCACAAAATCTCGGTTCAAACGGAAAGTTCATTTTCTTTGACGTTACGAAGAATCACCTCACCGGATTGATTCCACCGGATTTGTGCAAATCGAAGAAGTTACAAACCTTTATCGTTACCGATAACTTCTTCCACGGTCCAATTCCTAAAGGAATCGGCGCGTGTAAGTCACTTCTCAAAATCAGAGTTGCCAATAACTACTTAGACGGGCCGGTCCCACAGGGGATTTTTCAATTGCCTTCTGTAACGATAATAGAGCTTGAAAATAACCGTTTTAACGGCCAACTACCTTCCGAAGTTTCCGGCGTTAATCTCGGGATTCTCACTATCTCTAACAACTTATTCACCGGGAGGATTCCCGCTTCGATGAAGAATCTCCGATCACTTCAGACTCTGTTGCTTGACGCTAATCAGTTCGTCGGAGAAATTCCGGAGGAAGTCTTTGACCTACCAGTGTTAACCAACTTCAACATAAGTGGTAACAACCTCACCGGTGTAATCCCAACGACGGTTTCTCAGTGTAAATCGTTGACAGCCGTTGACTTCAGCCGGAACATGATTACCGGCGAGGTTCCAAAGGGAATGAAGAATCTGAAGGTTCTCAGCATTTTCAACCTTTCACATAACAACATATCGGGACTAATCCCCGACGAGATTCGATTCATAACAAGTCTCACCACGCTGGATCTTTCCTATAACAATTTCACCGGCATAGTCCCCACCGGCGGTCAGTTTTTGGTTTTCAACGACAGGTCGTTTTTCGGAAACCCTAACCTCTGTTTCCCACACCAATCCTCGTGCTCTTCCTATATCTTTCCCTCGAGAAAAAATCACACGAAGGTGAAGGCCATCATTACCGCGATTGCTCTCACCACAGCGGTGCTACTGGTAATCGCGACGATGCACATGATGAGGAAGAGAAAGCTTCATATAGCGAAAGCATGGAAGTTAACAGCATTTCAGAGACTAGACTTCAAAGCAGAGGAAGTTGTGGAGTGTTTGAAAGAAGAGAACATAATAGGAAAAGGAGGAGCCGGGATCGTGTACAGAGGGTCCATGCCAAACGGAACAGACGTTGCGATAAAGCGTTTAGTTGGACAAGGAAGTGGGAGAAACGATTACGGTTTCAAAGCAGAGATAGAAACATTGGGTAGAATCAGACACAGAAACATAATGAGGCTATTGGGTTACGTTTCAAATAAGGACACAAATCTGTTGCTGTATGAGTACATGCCGAATGGTAGTTTAGGGGAATGGCTTCATGGTGCAAAAGGCTGTCATTTGAGTTGGGAAATGAGGTATAAAATCGCAGTGGAAGCTGCTAAAGGACTTTGCTATTTGCACCATGATTGTTCACCTCTTATTATTCATAGGGATGTTAAGTCCAATAATATCTTGTTAGATGCTGACTTTGAAGCCCATGTTGCTGATTTTGGACTTGCTAAGTTTTTATATGACCCAGGTGCTTCCCAGTCCATGTCCTCTATTGCTGGCTCCTACGGCTACATTGCTCCAGGTTGGTACCACCATTATATTATTCTACTATACATATCATGATTAGTAGTTACATAGTGCTATAATGTTTTTGTTTTTAATAATGATGTACATGTTGAATGGGTGAACAGAGTATGCTTATACGCTGAAAGTGGATGAGAAAAGCGATGTGTATAGCTTTGGAGTGGTGCTATTGGAGCTGATCATAGGAAGGAAACCAGTGGGTGAGTTTGGAGATGGAGTGGACATCGTTGGATGGATCAATAAAACTGAATTAGAGCTTTATCAGCCGTCAGATAAAGCATTGGTGTCGGCGGTGGTGGACCCGCGGCTCACTGGATACCCAATGGCAAGTGTTATCTACATGTTCAACATAGCTATGATGTGTGTTAAAGAAATGGGACCCGCAAGGCCTACCATGAGGGAAGTAGTTCATATGCTCACTAATCCACCTCAGTCTACCACTCATAACAACCTTATTAATCTCTAGAATCAGATAAATAAACAGGGTTCACTTCTTTGAAAATAAGTTAACACAGATCAAAATGTGGTAATGATTTGTACCTGTATCTAGTAGTTTATCAAATGTAGTGCTATATATCAATTGTAAAAATAGGTTTGAATTTCACATTCACGTTGAGTGATTGCAAATATTTTCCTGATTGTGTTTCAAGAAATTTTGCACAAGGTTTTATGTAGTACTATTTTTTTCTTCGAAATTTCATATACGAAGATAAAAATAAATAGATGTAAGATTGAAGATAACCTTAAGAGCGAGATGTCTGGTGTGGGAATTATAGTTCTATGGTGATTAGATGAGTTTATATGTCAAAAAATTAGCACTATGATACTAAAGTCAATATATAAGAAAATTGATACTTTACAAGTATGGGTGGAAAAGATATCTTGGTGTGACTCAGAGTCACAAATATATAGAGAGAGAAATATGTTATAACGCGATCGTTTGATGCATATCAATCGTTGAGATGGAAGATGTTGGTGCAAAGATAGAATAAATGATGAAGTAGGAAATATTACTAATAAGAGAATGACGGCTACAAAACATGATTTTTGTTACAATGATTGTCACCCTATTTATAAGCTAAAACTAGGGTTACTAGAATAAGATAAATACTAAAATACCCTCTAACAAACTTAGGGGCCAAGAAAATAGTACAACTAAATAAATATGAATTATTAATAATATTCTAATACCATCCCTTAATTCATATTCCATCAAAACTTGTGACACCAATTCCATCCCTTAATCTGAGAAATTGATCAGTTTTGATAGCTTTCGTCAGAACATCTGCCAACTGCTTCTGAGTGCTGCAGTGTACAACTTCTAACACTCCACTCTGAACTTGATGTCTCAGAAAATGATACTTGGTCTCAATATGCTTGCTTCTCCCATGCAGCACTGGGTTTCTGGCAAGGTTGATTGCAGACTTGTTGTCAATCATCAACTTCAGAGGTTTGTCTACTTTAATCTTCAGATCCTGCAACAGATTCAGAATCCACACAGCTTGGCATGCAGTAACAGCACCTGCAATATATTCAGCTTCACAGGTTGACAGCGCCACAACAGGTTGCTTCTTGGAACACCAAGAAATGGGACCTCCCAGAAATTTGAACAAGTACCCAGATGTACTTCTTCTGTCAACTCTGTCTCCACACCAATCAGAGTCTGAATAACTCAGAAGTTCTGACTCATTATTTCCTCCAGAGGGAAATAACACTCCATACTTCAGAGTTCCTTTGATATACCTCAGAATCCTGACAGCAGCTTGGTAATGGGACCACTTAGGTTTACTCATGAACCTACTAACCATCCCAACTGAGTAGCAAATATCAGGTCTGGTATTGCACAGATACCTCAGAGAACCAACCAACTGTTTGAAGGTTGTAGCATCCACATCCTTTCCTTCAGAGTCTGAATCCAGTTTCTGATTTGTATCAGAAGGTGTGACAGCCATCTTACAATTCTTCAGATCAAATCTCTTCAGAAGTTCTAATTCATACTTGAGCTGATGCAAAATGATACCTTTCTCAGAATATCTGAACTCCATCCCTAGAAAGTATGTCATTTTGCCTAGATCAGTCATTTCAAATTCATTCATTAGAACCTTCTTGAACTTGGCTATCTCCTGTTCAGAACTTCCAGTCAATAGTATATCATCAACATATAAACATACCAGAGTCATATTGCCTTCAGAAGTATGCTGAACATAGACACCGTACTCCATCTCACATTTCTGAAAGCCTTGTTTCTTGAAAAATGAATCAATCTTCTGATTCCAAGCTCTGGGCGCTTGTTTCAGTCCATATAGAGCTTTGTATAATCTGTACACCATCCCTTCCTGATTCTTTTCCTCAAATCCAGGAGGTTGTGACACGTAAACTTCTTTTTCTAATGGACCATTCAGAAATGCAGATTTTACATCTAAATGCATCAGAGGCCAATTCCTGTTAGCAGCTATTGCAATCACCATTCTGATTGTTTCATGTCTTGCTACAGGTGCAAACACTTCAGAATAATCCAGCCCAGGTTTCTGTAGAAATCCTCTGGCTACCAACCTTGCTTTATGTTTGCCAATTGAACCATCTGGCTTTAACTTCTGCTTGAAAACCCATCTGACGCTGATGGCTTTCTTGTCTTTTGGAAGTTCTGTCAGCTTCCAAGTCTTGTTTCTCTCTATAGCATCAAGTTCTTCTTTCATGGCCTTCAGCCAGAGCTTCTGCTTAAGAGCCTCCTTTGTACTTATAGGTTCAGAGTCTACTAACATGGCACACTGAATGACTTCTCCTTCAGAGTCTACTTCAGTGTCTTGCAGCATGTCAAATTCTGCAAATCTTCTGGGAATGCTTCTGATTCTTTGTGGTCTCTGAACTTGTTCAGAGTCTTGAGCTTCAGAGTTTCTAGCTTCAGATGATTGACCTCCAGAGCTTTGACCATCTTCAGAGTCTGGCATATTTCCAGAGTCTGAATTGCCACCAAGATCTGGATTGCCATCAGAGTCTGAATCATCAGAGTCTGGGTCATCAGAGTCTGGGTCATCAGAGTCACCTTCATCTTCTGAGTCTTCTTCAGAGTTTGAATCAGTATCAGAGTCAGAGTCAACGTCAGGGTTTACTTCAACTTCAGAAATTCTTAACTCTGGCCTTTCTTCAGAGGTTCTAACATCAGAATCAGATTGAGACTTATCCCAATTCCAAACTTCTGATTCCTTCACAATCACATCTCTGCTGAATTCAATTTTATTGGTTTCTGGACAATAGAGCTTGTATGCACCTGTACTGTGGTACCCTATCAGAATCATCACTTTGCTTCTATCATCCAGCTTCTGTCTTCTGGCTTCTGGAACATGTTTATAGCAAACATAACCAAATACCTTCAGATGACTAACACTTTGCTTGTCTCCAGTCCACTTCTGCATAGGAACTATTTCCTTCAACTTCTTCGTAGGACATCTGTTGAGTACATACGTTGCAGTGGCAACAGCTTCTCCCCAGAGCTTCTGAGGAAGCTTCTTCTCCTTTAGCATGCTTCTCACCATATCAAGCAAAGTACGGTTTCTTCTTTCAGCAAGACCATTGTGTTGAGGGGTATAAGGAGCAGTAACCTCATGCTCAATTCCATTATCCTCACAGAACTTCTGGAACTCTTTGGAGTTATACTCACCTCCACCATCAGTTCTAAGAATCTTCAACTTCTGACCACTCTGATTCTCAGCCTTCATTCTGAACTTCTTGAATTCATCAAACACCTCATGTTTGAACTTAATAAGGGATACCCATGTCATTCTTGTGAATTCATCAACAAACAACACAAAGTATTTATTCCCTCCAATTGATGCTACTGGAAATGGACCACACACATCAGAGTGTACAACTCCCAAGGCATGTTTTGCTCTTGGAGCAACTTCTGATGCAAATGGCAATCTTGGTTGTTTTCCTTCCATGCAAACTTTGCATGACTTTTCAGGCTTCTTAATTGCAGGAATTCCATGTACCAATTTCTTTGAATTCAGATGTTGTAAGCTTCTGAAATTCAAATGACCAAATCTTCTGTGCCACAGCTCACTCTCCTTCTCAGTACTTGTTGCACTAAGACACTCTGAGTCTGCAGTTCTGACATTCACCTTGAATGTTCTATTCCTTCCCTGTTCTGACTCCATAATCAACTTCTGATTACAGTCATACAGCTTCAGAAGATTGTCCTTCATGGTAACTGAGAAACCTTTCTCAATTAATTGTCCCACACTCATCAGATTGCTTCTGATGCCAGGTACATACCACACATTCTGAATCAATGCTGTTTTTCCATTGTTCAGAGTCACTCTGACATTTCCCATACCTTCTGCATTAAGATATTTGTCATCAGCACATCTGATCTTTGTTCTCTTTTCAGAGTCAAAGTCAACCAGCCATTTCTTGTTTCCAGTAAGATGATTTGAACAGCCAGTGTCCATATACCACCAGTCTGTCAAATCATCAGATTCAGAGGCCATCAATAGTACAGATTCGTCATCAGAACTTCTGGCTATATTTGCTTCTTCTGATTTCTTCTCCTTGTTTGACCAACAATCTCTAGCAAAGTGACCAAACTTCTTACAACAGTAACATTGGATCTTTTTCTTGTCATACTTCTCTTTTCCCTTCTGAGCATTCTTTTGTCTATCAGAGGTTGAGGTTTCTGACTTCTGACCACCATCAGATCTTCTCCTGGCTTCTGACTGCTTCTGATACCTCCTATCAGAAGTTGCTTTCAGAGCCTGCTGTTCTACTTCCTTTTCAGAGTTTCTCTCAGTCAGACGCAACTCTTGCGCTTCTAGACTGCTCTGCAGCTCTTCAATTCTCATTGTGCTCAGATCTTTGGAATGTTCTATTGCTACCACAATGTAATCAAATTGAGGAGTAAGGGATCTCAACACTTTCTCCATGATTGTTTCTTCAGAAAGAGTTTCTCCACATGCCTTCATCTCATTAGTGATCAGAATCACTCTGGAGATGTATTCAGAAACTTTCTCATTATTCTTCATGTTGAGATTCTCATATTGCTTTCTCAAGGACTGAAGCTTCACCTTCTTCACTGATGCGTCACCACCATAACATCTCACCAGAGTGTCCCATGCAGCCTTTGCTGTTGTAGAGTCTGCAATCTTCTCAAACACGTTTACATCCACACATTGATGAATGAAGAACAATGCTTTCTGATCCTTCTTCCTTACTTCCTTCTGCGCGTTTTTCTGTTCATCAGTTGCATCTGCTGCTACTGGAACATAACCATCAGTGACAAGATCCAGAACATCTTGAGCACCAAACAGCACACGCATCTGGATCATCCAACGATTCCAGTTTTTACCATCAAATACTGGAAGTTTGGTGTTCATGTTGCCGTTTCCGTTCATCTTCTACTTTGCACAATACACTCAGAGTTTTCTCACACAGTGTTTCCCAACCCACAGAATTAAAAAAAAATTCTGATCA